TACAGCTGAGCCCCACAGCTGAGCTGGTGGGACCTGTGCGATAATGTTTAAGAAAGGACAAAGCACCGCACAGGCAGTGAGGAGTGAGGGGAGAAAAAGTGGGAGGAACAACACTGCAAACCTCAAGGTGAGAGAAGGATGAGGAGAGAAGGTGCTACACACGCTGGGGCAGAGATTCCCCTGCAGCTGCTGGAAGTTTTAGGAGAGACCATGGTGGAGCAAGTATTGCCCTGCAGCATATGGAGAGACCACGCTGGAGCAGATATCCACACTGTGGCCCATGGATGACCCCCAGGATGGAGTAGGTTCTCCTGAAGAACTGCAAGCTCACGGAAAGAAACCATGCTGGAGCAGAGAAGGGTGTGAGAAGTGAGGAGCTGTTATGGACTGACCACAACCCTCCATCTCCCCCTCGCTGCCTGGGAGTGGGGAGGAGGTAGAGGAGTTGGGAATGAAGGAATGAGGTTGAGCTGGGGGGCAAGAAGGGAGTGAGGGAAAGGTATTTTAGTTTTTGTCTTTGTTTTGCACCATCCAGCTCTATTTTAATTGGCAATAAATTAAATTACTTTTCCCCAAGTCAAGTCTGTTTTGCCTGGGACAATAACTGGTAAGTGATCGCCGTGTCTCGATCTCTACCCATGAGCATTTTCATCTTATTTTCTTCCCCTGTCTTTTTTGGGAAGGGATAGTGGCAGAGTGGCTGGGTGGGCATCTGGCAGCTAGCCAGGGTAAACCCACTGCAGTGACATGCAAGAACATATATGTAGAAATATATATGTATATATGCATTTTTATATCTAAGATTTCAGACTAGATAACACCATAATGGATTTCTGGTTTGGAGATGGTCAGACAGTCTAACTTTGTTACACTGATGCATGTGGCTCCTTAATACTTCTGTGTTGGCCTTATGAAACACAGCATGGTTTGCTCCTGGGTGGAATGGCTGGCATGGATTTCACTTCCATGTTAAGGCTAAATGAATTCTTTGTGCGGAAATTTTATCCAGCATCTGGATGCTTTAACAGATCTTGTGGAGTTTCAGAGGAACAACTTGAGCATGTCTACTCCTGTCTGTTAGGACATGAAAGCTGAGATTTCTCCACCGGGTGTTTTATCTGCAGTGAAGAAATGATGGCCTATGGGGACATAAGTGCCTATAATTGCAGTAGGGGACTATAACTTTGTATTAGTTTTCTGAAATGTTTTGTAGGGGTCTTGCTGCTGTTGTTTCATGTTGATTGTATTGTACAGGGAAACTGCTTTGTGGGAGAAAGAACTAAATGTCGTGCAAGTGTAGGTGGGAGGGATATCAACAGTAAACTTTGATGTTTCATAATATGCTTGACATTAAGTAAGAGTATATCTTAATGAAAGCGCTGTTTCACAAGTGTATATTGTTTTTGTGACTTGTGACCCCTAGTCATTAGAAAATCCCACATCCTCCTTTCTGATGAAACTTCTGGGCTGCTGGGGAAACAATAGTGAACATATCGATACACTGACTTTTCTGTCATTTTATTGAGACCTTTAAATGTGAACTGCTCAGATTCTGTTGTATTAATGCATTTCTTTCCTGAGCTGTGACTCTGTCATCAATTCATTACCTGTAACAGCCTGCCTGAATCTTTTCATCCTTCTTTTATCAGACTTTTTGATTATTTCCTGATCTCTCATCTGTAAGAAACTTTATTTATAAATTGTATAAATGACTGTATTACCAAGTGTCTTTAAGATAAACGAAGCAAGTTGCTTGCATTAACTAATAAACTGATGACTAGCCATTTCAAGAGGAAGGGAGTGTAGCGCTTTTCCCAGTGTAGGATGGGAACTGTAGCAGCTGTAAGCATCCAGTATTTAGTGATCTGATAAAATTTCTGCTTGGGCTGTGTTCATGCTTGTGGAAGTAAGATGCCTGTGATTACAGCATTAGTTGTTTGCATTCTTAGTTTGTTAGGACTCCTAGAGATCAAGCTGAGTTGGATCCAGGGGAATCAAGTTTATTTCGGTGTGTTCATAGCCTTAATTAGCAGAACCTTTCCGTTGGATTGAAGATCTCAGTGGAGACTATGGTCTACAAATAAATTGTAATGAGCTGTGTGTTAATTGGTGCAAACCTTAAGGCAAGGAAGGATTTCCTTGTGATGTGCTACCAAACTAAACCTTTGCCTAGCGGAGTGGGTGCCCTATTTCTGTATACAAAAACGTAGAATAAAAACAATTCTTTCCCCAAAGATTTTTTTTTTTAAATTTTTTTTTAACCAGTATGAAACAAGTGTAAGCGACCAGGGGATACAAATAGAAGTAGGAAAAAACACTTCAACTTCAGTAGGCATTGATCTCCAAGCACTGGCAGCTTAGGGACTGTTGGATTTATACAGATGCTGTTACTAAATGTTTTGGAAGCGCTTAAGAGAGCTTGAAGGAAGTGAAGTAATTTTGCAGGTTTTGAGCAGATCCTCCCAAGTGTGAGGGACAGTGTTCAGGAGAAGGTACCACAATGTGGATTTGAAAAGTCTGATGAGACCGATTCTATAACGTGGTTGGGGTAGGAGTCACTTAATACTGAAACAGGGATGACTGCTTGGGTGCTTGGTGTCATTTAAATGACTGTGGCACGCATAGGTGAATGTCTGTAACCCCATGTAACCTTGTTATATCAAATCATGACTTTGTAATTTGTTTCTGGGGAGTGGACCATAATTTGTATATTACTGTGTTTAATCCAGGATATCGCTTTGAATGTACTCAGTGGTAGAGGACAAGGAGAAGAATCCAGACTCTGACCTGTAAGATAGCCGGTTACATAGGCTGTGTCCCCTGTACATATTAATTTGCCAGGCTTGGTGAGTCTCAGCTAACCTGGCCAAAGATGTCTCTGAGAGGACACCTGCGAGGAGGGCTCCCATCAGTGTGCTGTAGACAGCAACTGGCCATCTCCTGCATGAGTTTTTTGATCAAGGTGTACCGCGTTTCAAAGATACCAGTTAAATTCACTTACCAGTGCAATGCTGCAGTCTTTCATGTTACTCTGGTGAAAACCATAAGCTTGACTGCTCTTAATCTCACTGAAAGCTAAATAGTTAACCACAACTTGGTTAACCAACTTGATGCAAACTCTTGTGGTTATGAATGTTTGTCTGCTATCAATTCTGAATGACCTTATCTTCCTATACTTTGCTGTTGGTAACCATAAAGGCTTCTTCCACAGGGGTGATGGCAGAGTGGTATGTTGTTGCCACACTTAAAGAGTATCAGTGACGATGCCATGCCTGGGGCTTGTGAGCTGGTCCAGGGCTGAACTATCTGAAAACATGTAGCTTTTTCACTAGTTTTTGTGTAACTTGGCAGACATGCTGGTGTTATTACAAAGAGATTGAGAAGCTCTACATCTTCAGATCTACTTAAGCTACTGGAGAGCTATACCTTCAGAGTTAGGAATGTCTTGTTCATTCACAGCAAGTAAGTTAGCAACAGTATTAAGTCACTAAAGATTAGGTGGCGATGCTCTATAATGAATAATGCTTGCTCTGGGCATGCCTGTGTTGGGTACTGCCTCTTCTATATTCAGTTCATGGAAGAAAGCAGTGATCTCGCATATGCGATATCTTCCTCTACTTAACGTCACCCTTGAAGCAGTTTGGTTACCAGGAACTGCGATACTTACTAGTCTGCTACTGGACATCTGTCCAGAGCAAAACGGACATTGCAGAAATGAAGGCCAAGCTACAAAATGGAGTTTTTAGACCGGTGTCAGCTGGTGGCTAGAAACTCTAAAAGACTCTGTCATGACCTCAGAAGAGTTCAATGTCAAAAATACTGTACAGGTTATGAGTTGGAGAAACATGTGGCAGGTCCATGGTGATACATGCAGTTGTGGAGGGCTCTGGGGGAAGAAATGAGCTCTGTTTTAGTCCCATTTAGCGTGAGCCGACAACTTAGCATTGACAGAGATGTCAGAGTGAGACTGTTCTTTGAACAGGAGGAGGCAGATCCTGAGCAGAGGCACAGATCTGAGTAGTTAGTGCAGTGGTGGGAGCTGAACTTGTTTTGCAGATGAGATCCCTGAGACAAGATACTGAGGAAAGGGACCTGAGAATAGAGAGAGCGTTGATGAAAAATAAAGATCCATGATGTGAACAATAAGAAAAGATTAGTTAGTAAGTAAGTAAAAGCAGTAAGAT